GATGAGGGGCACTTTCCACACAGAGCAGACCAGGGGTGAATGAGTCCAGGAGAGGTGAAAATTTAGCATTGCGATGTGTTCCTGGTTCTATATAATGACAGTATGGATGGTGTCTCTATCTTCTCTCATACAGTTTATAAACAAGTGGAACATGTGGTGCATTGGATCAGTCCACATGTGCTTTGATTAAAATAGCAAAATAAAACCAAAAAATATAACCCAACCACAGAAGGCTTAGGTCATCCCAAACCTAAAGGTGAAGCTTGTGGGAAGGATAATAATATAGGCTAGAATAAATCACACATATTCAAAGATAGTAAATTAAAGTAAAGATATGGTTTGAAAAATTAAAGCTGCTGCAGTTTAAAGGTCTTATATTACATAAAATTGACTCTTGGGAGCTTTAAGTATTTATAATGCTGTTACTGCCTCAAAAACATTCCCGGACTTTGCTGTGATTTGTTTCATTCACAAATATTTGAGTAATCCTTTATTATTTGTCTGTCTATAGCTCCAAAGCTCTGTTCCACCTTGTGATGTTACGAAGAGGTAGTTTTCAAGTTAACAAGCTACTGTTCATTAGAGAATGGCAATTCAGGGGCTGAGATTATCCGAATGATCCTAGTGAAAGTCTGTAGAGTTTAAAACACAGTGGAGCACTTCCTGTATTACCACATGACATCACAATGTGGAACAAAGTGTTTTCCGTTTGAGAGAAGAACACAGCCTAAATATGCAGGGTTTGTGTGTTGAACATGTGAGAATGAAACAAAACACAACTCCGGGTATGTTTGTGATGAGGAAACAGGATTATAACATAGATCAGAAAAGAGCGTAATATGGGCCCTTCAAACCTACACACCACTACACTACAGTCAAACGTGAATAATATAAAACTGTTCTTTTATTTGAGCTCCTAATCCACAAACCAATCGCTAGGTTCTGATAAACAGGTATAAACAAGTTGTAATTCATTAGGATTGTTGAGTTTTTGAATCGCTCACAATAAAACAATAAATATTCCTGATTCACTAGACTTTTCCCTATTTATTTATTTTGTTTTATTTTTTTTTTTGATCATCACTTGTTGAGTTTTCTACAGGCCAATAGCTCAATCCACAAAGTCCGAGGTGGCAGTAGTCACAGTTTTGCTTTGGACAACACGTTTTCCAGTGTATTAGCAGGTACTGTGTGAAATGGCTCACTTGTGCGTCTTATCTTGTTTAGTGGATGAATGGGTTTTTAAACACTTAAGTTTATCTGACTGAGGGCTATTCGGAGGCGGCTCCTTTAAAGTGATAGGGCAGACTGAAGGGCTCCTGAGTTCCCTAAAACACTCAGGTCTTTTCCTCATTATTCACAGGATAAATACATGACCAAGGCAGAAAATACAAAATACACAATGAACTTTCCACTACTGCATTTCCAGACATTATCAAAGTGTGAATCATGCCATAGTAATGCAAATACACAAACTACTAATGGGTCTTAAAAATATTACCTTGTGTATTCCAACCACTCCATAGCTAAAAGGACATTTGCTTAAAAAGTGTATTGGAAATCAGGGGGAGTAAATTTAATGGGGGAAATAAACATGACATTATTAGATTGTGTACCATTATATTGGATTTATTGACGGTGAAATCCAATTATTACGCTGAGACGTATTAATACTTTTTTATTATTAACAAAACATGAATGGTTCTTGGAATCGTGATGTGATTATTTTGTAAATGAATGACTCAAAGTGCATTCAAGTGCTATCCCTGAATATGTTTTCTAATGATTACATTATGATGCCTTCTTGAAAACAATTTATAATTTTGAATGCTGGCATCAGATTTTTATAATGGATTTTAATGTTATAGTCAAATGTAAACTCAAATATATTTAAATAATTTATCCAGACTTGAAACTATAACTCAAAAACGTCTGTATGTGCAATGTTTATTTATGCACTGACTAGATTAACAAATTAAATCATATGAATTATTTATAAACACATTGTCATTTTGCATCAAATACCTTCTAGTTCACTGTTGCTAATAGTGTGATGTATAGCCTTCTTAATAATTCTCACATATCAAAAGTGTGATTAAAAAAGTTCATGATATACTGACAGACGGTGGTTCAGACATATTAGATAATAATGGAGACTGCAGTTTATATGGGCCCTTACTGTCTGTGTCACTATGATATGACATAATGGCACCAAGATGATAACTCTCCCAAAACACAAATAATATTTAAAACACCTGATAAATGTGGCTATAGCTTGTGTCCGTCAGAGCCTGTGTATTGTACACTGAGTGATGGCCTAGTTTGGGTCTTAAAACAGCACAGACAGAACTGGCACATGGTGATGGTACACGTCCAAAACGCCAAAGGTTAGTTTTACACCTGTCCCAAAGTGTTTAATCATCTACCACTGAAAAACAGTCTGAGCTCACCAACTCCCAGCAGCCTTTGCAGCAAAACTTATCCTGACTAACTAAGACTAGGCCTGTGTTATGGGAGATGGTAATAGTGTGTGTGTGTGTTTTGTTTTGTTTTTTAATTAATTAAAATAAGTCAGTGAGTTTGAAGTGTAATAGAGAGCTAAAAAATGTAGTTGTTTTCAATGTTATTTTTGGAGGATCTTTGCTCATTCAGATTCACACTAAAAATAACAATATTTGCTTAAGTATTTTGCATTATTATATTTTAAAGAGACAATATTTTAAGGGTAAATTCTTGTCGTTGTAGGCTTGCAGTGGTCATAGCAACAGTGAAAATGTCTAAGGATAATAGCACTATAAACTGACTGTGCCATTAATCAAAACTGTGACTAATCAATTATGTTAATATTTATCAATGCTGAATAAAATGAAGTCATTCCATCCCGATCATATAATGCTGAGTGGGGTTAGCTCTGTGCTCTCTCACGTTATACTGCAGTATTGGTAATCAGGCTTGGCCCGGCTCTCACTGGACCTATAATAAGAGTGGAGTGTTAGAGATAATCATTATCAAGTCTGTACATAAGGCACTGACACCTGGAGAGGGGTCGGCTATTAGACACAACTCAGGAAAACACAAACAACAGCTCAGATAAAAGTGCGCTGTCCGTACTCTTAAACGAACGCGCTTTTACGCGTCCGGGCGATGCGTAATTACGGCCTGAATAGTCGCACAGGGTGTCATGTTGGGTTGAGCCTCAGTGGCACAGAGTAAATCCCACTAAAACGCCGTGTGATAAATGTAACTCGATTAGCGGCCTGAGACACGGGCCCAGAGCCTGACCGTCTCTGGATAATGTGGAGACAGGGCGGCGTCCTGCCACTTTTCCTCCCTGTGTCAGAGCCGCACACTTTGACATCACTACGAAAACACCTCATTCATCACGTGGAGGGGGTCCGCGCAAAAACAACACGGCTCTGCACAGTCTCTCCTCTGCCTGACCAGCGCCCCGAGACCGGCACAGGCCAAGGGGGCATCGGACGGTAGCTGCGGGGCCCGGTTACTCTTAAACGTCACACTAAAGATTTAATGAATAGGCTAAATAAATGAATAAAGGCCCGGATGAAAATATTTTTGTTTTAATTTACAAAAGTACATAAATTTGACTGTAGGCTGATGTATTATTAGGCTATTATTATTAGCCTACTAGCCTATATTTTTCTTTATCAAAACGATATCTCAATAGCCCACCTGTTCGGCAAGAAACACTTAAAAATATAGCCTCTTAAAGCCTGCTTGCTCATGAATAATACATCAAACAGACTTGTAAATATACGCATGTTCTTATAGGTTAAAAGTAGCCTAAAAAATTATTGGGTTAGACAAGGCAACTGATGGAATGAGGGGAGGAGATTCATTAAAGTTTAATATAAAATTTACAAGAACTATAATCTACTTTTAAATCTATCCCCTCATTCGGACTGTTTAAATATACAAATGTCAGTAAAAAAGATTTGAAATAAATAATTAAATCATTAGGGTTAGGGTTAGCTGTAAACAAACAAACAAAAAACAAACAAACAAACAAAAACTTCCCAACGGGCCTTTTCTAAATTAGGTCAACTTTGTGTATGATAATTTTACACCATTCTTGACACTTTAATATCAGTTTGGGGCTCAGGCTTGTGGAGTCTTCAAGTTGTAAACACAGCGAGTGTGAACGGCGGTGGGTGCGCACGCGTCAAAGCAGCAGCCGTGAATAATGAATGATTCAATTGACACCTCTCACTTTTGATCACTTGGACGTTGTATATTGGACCTGAGCGAATCATCCGCGTTCAAAGCCCCAGTGCTGAGGCCATTTCATTCTGCATACAGGCGTCTGACTTAAATAAACTAATTAACAGGGCCTTTGTTGATCACAATGAGGAAGGAGAATAAACAAAGCGAGCATGGTCCAGCAGTGGTCAACATAAAGGTAAAATCAGATATACCAAGGCAGAGGAACAAATAATTCATACACTCATAGGTTTTCAAATAATTATATGACAAATTGAAGTCGGGAAAAATATTGCCTTAGGGCCTGTCAAGCAATAATAATAAAGAAATAATAATAATAATAATACAATAATAATAGGCCTATAGGGAAAAGTGGCAGATTTTAAGACTTTTCAAAAAGCGCATCTCTTTAACGGCCTGTACAGTTAATATTAGCTTTTAACTGTATGAGATTTGCTTAAATTGAGACTTAATCAGTTGTCGGCCTTAATGGCAGCCCACACCTTTAGTGATCTCGTTTTAAATTTGCTAAATTGACAGAAAAATAAAAAAAACATTGCAAATTACATGCGCACCTCCAGTATTTTCTTAAACAGATTAAAAAATAGATTAAAAAAATGAAATGCAAATGATCTTTTAGTTCAAGACCTGATCAAGAGGCGAAGTGCTGCGTGATTGATCGGAGGAGTTCACAGGCTGGCACCCCCACCGTGTCTCGAGCACACAGGACGCACGCGATTGGTCAGCCTCGTGCAGCCGCCGCCACCATAAGCACCTCCTCTCATAAACCCCGTCAGAGCGCACGCACTTAACTTTTCCCATTAGTCCCAGGACAAGCAACGGACCGCAGTTACCAACCTTCAGTGCAACTTATGGCACAAGTTTAGCAGGTAAGTGTTTGAAAAATCTGCTGTATAGCTTCTGTTTTCTCTGTCTTTACCGGGAAGCGCGGCTGTAGCGCGCCGCCGTGGACAGTCTCATTTCGGAGTATTGTTTTATCGCCTTGTTAAGCCAGCCTCTAGCTCTTATCTGTTTAGGGTCTTATCAAACGGTTATCTCATTGCTGTGAAGACATATTGCGTTTTGTTTCCTATCTCTACATGTGTGTGTATGTGTGCGCGCATTGGCGTGTGCTGTTATGTGGGAGGACAGTGATTTGACACGGATGGATCCAGTGCCTCTTAAGGGCGCTTGATAGGAGCTATGGCGATCAGTGCGCTTTTTATTATGGACCAGCACACAGCGCACGATAATGGCGTGAAAGCAATGATCTGATGTTAGTTTTTAGCTTTTAGTGGACTGTTAAAAGTTTGGTGTGGGCATGTTCAATGTCAGCTGATCGTCTTTTCTTCTCTAAAACTGGATCTTTCCCATTGCAGGGTGGACTACTCCCTGAACATTACTTAACCTCTCCGTGTTTGGAAATATTCCTGGATGGACCTGGCGGATAACAGCTGGTCCATGGTTAAGCGCGAAGTGTCCAGCAGCCCTGGATCTCCGGCTGAGAGCTACCTGTCCGGTGACAGGAGAGACGGCCCCGCGGCGGAGGAGCTCAGATCCGCCGTGTCACAAAGCGAGCTGGACGCGTTGGGCCACAGGCGACACTCCTACGTCCACTTTGGACACCACAACAACGGGCTAGGCGCGTCCGAGGACATGCCCCTGTTTACGGACTTAGACCAGGGCAGCAAACTGGTGCTGTCCGGGAGCACGCACAAAACGGGCCTCCTGGTGGACCCCAGTGAAATGTACCAGACACTGGCCATCGCCGCGGCGCAAACGCCCACCGGATACGATTCCTCCTCTGGGGGCTACAGCATGCACTCCAGCCCTAACTCCCCTGTGTACGTGCCCAGCTCCCGCGTGGGGCCCATGATCCCTAACCTATCATACCTCCAAGCCGGTGGCACGCAGCCCAGCCACGTGTCCAGCCACTCGGTATGGTCCCAGTCCGCACCAGAGAGCCCTTCATACAGCACGAGTAGCCCACACGCAGCCAGCCGCTTCCACTATCCTCCCAGCCCGCCGATGAGTAACGGCACTTCCCGGGACACGGCCTATAGTAACACTCTAAACGTGGGCAGCAGGGACCAGTACAGTCTGTCCCGGAGCCTCAGCGGAACCTACCCCAGCCCGTACTCCCCGTACGTGACCCCGCAACTGTCCCAGCTCCCCTCGCCCTGGAACAGCGGGCCCTTCGACAACACTATGCTGCACACGCTGCAGAGCAGAGGCGCACCCCTCATCCGAGGCCCAAATGGAGGTGAGGCTCATTGTGTCCCACACCATTCCTGTATTAGGCTCTGCTACAGGAAATTAATTAATCTTCTTTGACTGAATATGTGGATAATCCTGATGGAAATGTCACAGCACTGTTAAATGTCAAAGTTTAAACTAAATCCTTTTAGTTCAATTCTAAAATGATGATTACTTTCTTCTATCAAATAATTTACCTAATTTATGGTGACGGTAACCTAAATAAGACGGATATTAACCCTGCCGACATATTTCAATTGTATGGCAAAATATAGGCGAATAATGTTAAAAATAAATCCGGCGTTATCTTTAAGTTTGTGCATTTTTAGTTCTCTATCTGGAAAAACATAAAATTATTCTGTTGTTGCTCATGTTCGCTTTCTTTTTTAACCAGTGTCCGACCTCCTGGATGACATGGGCGAGAGTCGGGAGTGTGTCAACTGCGGGTCCATCTCCACGCCACTCTGGAGGCGCGACGGCACCGGGCACTTTCTGTGTAACGCCTGCGGCCTCTACAGCAAAATGAACGGGCTGAGCCGGCCGCTCATCAAACCACAGAAAAGGACGGTGAGTGATGGAAAGTTAGAATTACATTTGTCGTTAACATCTAAACACTGTCTAAGCACTGTCGCAGTACAACATATCCTACATTTCTTATTATATCAGATGATATTTGCGTGTTTAAATGGGAAACCTAGTTTTATCCATTTGATTTCGTACAATCTCAGCAAACATATATGAACTATACTGCATCTGTACATCCTAATACATTTTTAACATGTTAATGTCTGTCTTTTCCACGTTTCTGTCTGTGTAAATTCATGTGTAGGCTAATCGACTACATTTACGCACGGATTACGCACCACATTAAACACGTTTTTATGAGTAAAATTAGAACTACGCAGCATATTTATATTTTTTACTTATAACGGACATGTGTAAAGGCCATACTGAACACAAACCAAGAGGTCCCCTGTTTATATTGGGAAATAGGGTTTCAATGCCCCCATTGTGGTGTTATTAGCGAAGTGGCTTTGGAACAAAGCGTCACGTTGACCTGTCAGTATTACTTCCTGATGTAAAGCACTGCTGAATAATCCCAGTAATGGTTGTATGTTGTTTTATGTCACAGTCTACGTCCAGAAGAATCGGCCTGTCCTGCGCAAACTGCCAAACGAGCACTACCACTTTGTGGCGCAGAAACGCGGAGGGCGAACCAGTGTGCAACGCGTGTGGCCTCTACACCAAATTACACGGGGTCAGTACTATCATAGAAAAATAAAATTCTAATACTTATTGAAAGATTTTTAAAAATATTTATTTAAAAGTTTAGACAAATAGTATATTTCTTAAATTTTTATGAAATTATTTGAACTGTGTACAATACAGTTTTATGTTAAATTTCACAGGTTCCTCGACCACTGGCAATGAAAAAAGAGGGAATCCAGACCAGAAAAAGAAAACCCAAAACTCTAAATAAATCCAAAGGATCCTCTGGTGAGTCAGGATTAATTAGTTTAGTGTAGTAAGTCAGTTATTAAATGTAATAAATCAAAGTCTAAATTATAATCTCTTCTTCTAGGAAACAATAATAACACCGTCTCCATGACTCCCACATCCACGTCTTCGTCCAACTCTGAGGACTGCTCCAAAACCAGCTCTCCCACAACACAGGTGATTATGACTTTTATTAAAATATTATATTACACTGTGATATACAAAAAATATACAGTAAAAGTACAGAAAAACACTATGAATCACACAGTTTGTAACCGATATGTCACCAAACAATGACTTATTACTCACACTTGATTCATGTGTGATCATCTTTGGGAAGGTGTCACAATATTTAGCACATATATTTTTACTAAACGACAAAACATTTTACTACCTTTTTGCAAACAAATTTAAGTCATACAATAAATGCCATATGTAAAAGAAAACCTTATTAAAACGTGAAAAAACAACTGTCGTAGCCTCTTCATACATTTTTTAGATTTTCTAAATAAAAAATAAAGACCTATAATTTATGATAGATTTATGACCCACAACAAAAACTACTCAGACAACAGTAGCTCCAAAATACAATAAAACTTAAATCATATTAAATAAACATGCATTCTGTAATGGATTTTCAATTGATTAAAACTAATGATCTAATTCCCCTCTCCCCCCTCTAGGTCAGCTCTTCTGTCCTGTCCAGTTCAGCGGAGGCCACTGTGTCATCGGTGAAGTATTCGGGACAGGACGCTCTGTACACCAGCCTATCCCAGGACGTCTCCTCAGTGCGGGGTGATGCGTGGTGCCCGATGGCTTTGGCCTGACCCCTCCCTCCCCTAAAATAAAGACTATAATCCCTGGTCCAAGCACACTGTCATTCGGAAGTATACCGGAGCATTACTTGTTTCCTTGTTTGGAAGTGCCTGACTTTCCCTTCAAGTACGGAATACCCAACTTCCAGATTTGGGGAATTTGGCCAAAATGATCAACATTGTTTTTTGCTGTGGACATCGCTTCTGGAGGCACTGGTATTTCTCCCCACACCTCTCTGCACACCTTTTCACATTGTACATAAGGGATTTTTCTCTTGGATATAGACAGTGCCGTTTTAAGCACATCAGGACAAGTTATATCTTTCCCCACAACTGGAATCATGCAAAGACGACTTTTACAAATCAAAAGGGATAAAAGAAATATATTTATAAATCTTCCATTGTTGGCTCTGATTGTTAATAAAGATATCATTTTAGAGTAGAACCTCCTTTGTGTTTCTTTAAAAGGCAATTGTAGTAATGCATATGAAAGCTCTTACTGGTTCAAACAGGGTATAAATGACATACGTTTTTAAAATAAATTATTTTCTTTCAAATATTCAAATTCCCTATGCCTTTAGTATAACTGACATTACGGTACTACCATTCTTTGGCATGTAACACAGTTGCTTAGTTGGTCTATTTGAACAACCCATAATAAATAACCTTTTTGTTACAAAGAGGACTGTTGCACTACAGGAACCTGTATACTTGCTTTGACTATGCAAACATCACTATTTTAAACAGTGGAGGATCAATCTATTGTGACTGGATTAACCAAAGGTGACAAAACAAATAAAGTTGACAAAGTGATGACTGAATATAATTTTGTCTGACAGTGGTCCCTCTGTGTGGTAATGTGGGACTGTAATGTCCAGCTGAGGGGGCGGAGTCAAGTCCCCCCATTCATTTACACATAAACGCCAGCTATATGATTTTTATTTTTACCTCACAGTTTTATCCAATAATCAGTGCATTTTTTTCTGGAAGTATTTATTTTTCAAAATTATTTCATTATAATTTTGTTTTATTTGTCAGTCCCGCTTCTGGAGATTTATTTAATTTTTAGTCAAATAAATTGTCTTGGTGAAGCACACAACTCAATCACAACTTGTTTTCTTTTGAGATATATGTATGAAGTACTATGTTTGAAAATCCTGTCAAATGAATCAATTTGTGTAATTCAAGACTGTAACAAATCAAACAGCAATACGTTCAGATGGTACAAAAAACATGGAGGCCGTAGACACTAAACTATAATCCTAAATTGTACACAACATTTGATATGAGAACTTTCTAAACAATCTTTACATTCCACAATAGCTTATTCAAACTTTGAATATAGTACACAGACAAGTAAAATGTTTCGTATGTTGTCCTTTTGTCTAAACTTGGTGCCTCTAACTACTTAACCCCAACAGAATTTTAATATATAGTCATCCGCTGAAGACTCTCTCCAAATGCATTTTCCTTGTCTTTCTGTTTGGCTCCTATACATTTCCCACATACATGCTCCATATTTCATTAAAACCTGCCTTTGTTGTCATTGACATGTTTTTAATGCTAGTCTTTACCACAATCCCTCATGCACTAAAGACTGAAAGCCCAGAGCACTCTCCCGAACTGCAGCTTAAAGTAGCTGTCACACTGTTTACTGTATGAGGCCGACGCTGCCTTTGAGCAAGACATGAAGGATTCTCGAGATGCTAAAGATTTACGTCAGGACTTAGCCTTATCAGTCTGCTCCCTCACGTATTGAGTTTATTGACCAGTGAGGAATTTGCAAGGTTGCACCACTGCTGGGCTAGTCATACATCTTTTGTACTCTATACAATCAGAAAAATGTGTAAAATGAGGTTCAAATGCTTCAGGAAATTGTCAGATGTTTTTCGTATAATGATCTGGATTGCATTGACACATATCATAGAAAGTTCAGTTAATGCCAATGGATATTTGAAAAAGCTAAATGTATTTACCTAGTGACTCAGCAGCTTGTTGTGTAGTGTGTTGGGTAGTCTTTAGTTTACATTTTAACAGTTTTGATTAATGCATTTTCATTTCCAAGTTTTGCAGATGTCAACAATGACGTTTCTTTTTAAGCATTCGATCCCGAGTTCCTTATTAATGACATTTCTTAATACTAAATTCAGTACTTCTTCCACTAAAAGAACCAAATGTGATTAACTTCTATATGCATATCAGTGATAAAATCAATTAACTTTCCTGTATTGTAATATATATTCAAGTAAAAGTTAAATTTCTTCATAAAAGTTCTGATACTTCTAATCAAAAGCAGTTTATATTATTGCCTTTACCAAGATTTTTGTGTCAAACGTTATATTTTAGATAAAGAAATAAATCTGACACAACCCCCACATGTAATGAAAAGTACAGTTATCATGAGTTGAATTTTGCCGGGGTTCTGGATCCATGAGCTAAATATTATTTGTGTTGTGGATTTATGAGGTGTACCTGCCATGGCATGCTCAGGTTGGTTTCCATAGCGAGCAGAGGGAGGAAAGTTAAACAGAATCATCACAGAGATCCTCCCTCTTCTCCTCTGGGACTGTCCGGGGTTCACCAACGGGGCTTACACAGGGGAGAGAGGGAAAATATAGCAACACCACACAGTGCAATTATTATTATTTTCTACATGTTCCAGATGCCCTTCCGATGCCGTCCTGCTAAATCACTGCGACTGGAGTGGGCAACAGTACCACTGTCACCAAATCTTACAAATTCTAATCCTGACCAGGCCTGGCTGCATTGTTTATGCTCAATGCTCCAGACAGGTTGCCCCATCCAGCTGCATTCAACGACGGGTCAAGTGCACAGGTCAAGTTAACTTTGACATTCTGAGTTTAGTTTAACCTTTGTTATACTCAAAGCAGTAGCAGAGAAACTATGGTCATACCTTGAGAATATGATCTAATCTTTAAAGGCTTGGGACTGGTTGCCACATGGATGGAGACTGTTGGGAATACGTGGTGCAGAATTGGGGCAGCAGTGGCTATAGTGGAGCATACAGTTGTGAGTATGGACAAAAAGTGCAATACAAGACTAAGCATTATTATTATTAAAATAGCAAATGACTGCTCCTTTTGTGAACAGTAGCAGATGCCCTCAGACCCTCCATGGTGAGTGCAGTGGGTCTTCCAGTGTAAACAGAGCTGACCAGGACCACAACTGAGAGGCTGTGCTCCCAGAGGAAAGCCCCTGATGAGTTCTGTTCATTGGGTCTACTCCTCCGGAAGAGATGGGATCTGACTCAGCCCTTTGGAGCTTCCTCCTCTCATCAGGGCACACAGAGCTGAGGGCTACCTTATTTTTGGCTTATTGTATCAAATCTTCTTAAAATATTTCAGTTTAATTTGTTAACCATTTTTAGATTCTTAAAAACATTAAGTTACACTAACTAACATTGAGATGCACTATGTGACTTTTCTGGTGGGTGGTCAGTCACTTTGCCTGGAATGTTTTTCGGTATGTGCAGTGTTTCTCAAAGTGGGGACCAAGGACTCCTGTGGGCCCTCATTACAGCCCAAAAGGTTGCCAGCACACCAGGCAAGAAAGAAAATTATGTTTTAAATTAACTTTACATAAGATATTCTTTATATTTATATCAGTATTAAGGCCACAGAAATAAGACTACAGTGCATTGTTTTAACATAAATCTAAGCAGAAAACCTGACATATTCTTTTACGTGTAGAGTAAAACATTATTAGAGGTGCCTTGTGTGATCTTTGCCTCTATAGAAAGGCAGACTTTGGGAATGACTGCTGTATGGCATTAAACATATCCATCTCCATGGACAATTCCACCTCTAGGTGAAGTTACAGTTCGGATTTGAAGAGTAGCCACCCCAACTCACACAATGAAATGAATGCAAGACTGGTAAGTTTAATGCTATACTGTGAAACATCTAAAGCTCAGCGACATCACGTCCATTAAGCAAATAAGGACCCCCGGCAGAAAAATGACACAGTGCACCTTTAATAACACCATCTTAAGTATACACATCTATTCTGAATAACTGCAAGCATTCTAGCCCAGAAGACAAAGGTTCACAAAAACACAATGAGAGAGAAATAACATATTATATTATTAAAACATTAGTGGAGAAGTTTAAGCCACTCTGACAGTAGATCCCTCGAGGCGCAGTGATGACCTGTCATAACTAAGAATAGTCACTGTTACTTTTTACAGAAACAGGAGGAGAGAGAGGGAGGGGCCATCTGTCAACCGCCCACACGAGAGGCGGGTCTGGTGACATCTTTCTTATAATATATAACATGTTATAAGGTGTATGGCAAAATACTACAACATCTTACCCTTTCCCATTGTTTAAAAGTGGTCCTCTTTACAATTAAGAGCTGTTACAACATACAATATGTTTGAAATGAGATGGCTGTCATCTCTTGCTTGAAAATAGTTGTTTCCATCACTTCTTGTCATCACTCCTGCCTGACTCAGCTTTTGGAAAACATTGCACAGCGCTGAACAACTCTTACTATTTAGTTTACACAATACATCATATTAACTTGATCATGCAATACATACTCCCCAATTATTAGAGTTCAGGAAATCCCCTTTTCTTTTGTTGTGTATAAGTAATAAGTAATGTATGAGTTAGCTGGTGATATTTGACTACCAAATTAGCCTGAACATCTGAACAATGCTGTGCCCGTTTGGTGCGCTCGGAGCTGGGTTCCTCTAAAATGGAAAGTTATTTTATGACTGTGCAGTGCGCTGAGAGGAGTCTGCTCTTTGAAAGTCAGCCTCTAAATCATGGACGTGGTGTAAGTATTTTTCTGCGATCCAGGGAGTACACTTGGATTCTTGTGAGTTCAATGCAAGGTTAAAACTCTCTCTCACTACAAGGCCAAGGCGTTTTGAATTAGCTGTGTCGTGTATGGGAACCTGAGCACGCAGCCAAACTCAATACTTCCCAGTATTTCTGTCAGAACACTGGCCCTCGAAAACAAAACACAGTGAAATCACTGCGGCACTGCTTCATCAATTAAACATATGTCAACAAACAATATGCTAATCTTTGACTCTGAGGAGAGAGCGCATTCTCCAGCGGTGAAGTATAGGAGCCGGACAATCAAGTCTACAGGACCGAGCTGAGACAAAATGGTGGAGGAAAAGGACAATATTTGTTTTAAAATAGGGTTTGATGCACACAATTATGACATGACATAGTTTGCTGCACTTTTTTAATATCAATATCACAAATCAGTTAATATCCTCTTTATTAGGGCTGGGAAACACAGGGTCTCTCACAATGAGACATGGCTCACAACACGATATTATTATGACGATGCATACAATAATCGATATACTGCACATGATATATTGCACACATACATTTTAACAATAATAGTTCTTTGTTAAACCACTACTTGTGCAAAGTTAATAGGAAATATTATCCATATTAATCACTAAAACAGTGAATATGTCAAATGTATTGCATAAACAAGTTTCCTTCCTCTAAATGAGCAACAAAATTGTAGTATAGTCACAAAAAAAAAAAAAAAAAAAAGCTTAAAGACACACAAAAAACATTTTTTCGATATATCAATGTAAGAGCTCATGATAATGATAATGTATCATAAAATTTACTAACACGATATATTGATGTTTAAATATTTTTGCACACCCCTGTATGCTACAGAAACTACTAATATTCCTCAGTCTAAAAATAAGAGTAATTTCAAAGTTGTTATAGACAATATCAAACCTTTTTCCTGGTGTTGTAAACAAGTATGAAATTTGATTTGTTTCTTCCTGCAACTCTTGAACTTAAACCATTGGACAGGATGATGAAAGTTGAGAGTTAGGAGAGACATTCAGCAATTCGCAATCAGTAATCGAATCTATGGCACTAAGGCTGGCAACTCATATGCCATCCTCCAACATGATGGATTATTGAAACAGATACTTACTCCTGTATGAAAATCAGTTTGTTCCAATGTACTGTGGAACTACCAAGTCATATATTTGTTTAAGCAAGGTGTGGTGAACAATAAAATCT